TTGAACAGGGAACCACCAACAGCTCTATCAGCAGCACTCAGAAGCAGCAAGGGAGCATGCCTCTGTAGGAGGCCAGTAAGTTATGATGGTACAGTTCCCTGAAGAGCTTTGCACACCAACATTAACAACTTGAATTTGGCCTTGAAATGCACCGGAAGCCTGTGTGTGTGTGTGTGTGTGTGTGTGTGTGTGTGTGTGTGTGTGTGTGTGTGTGTGTGTGTGTGTGTGTGTGTGTGTGTGTGTGTGTGTGTGTGTGTGTGTGTGTGTGTGTGTGTGTGTGTGTGTGTGTGCTCTGTCTTCTCCATCCCCAGTGAGTCATGGTGGATGGCTGCTTATACTGAGCCAGGATCCTCTGAAGGTTTCTTCCTGTTAAAAGGGAGTTTTCCTCTCCACTGTTGCTACATGCTTGCTTAGTATGAGGATTGCTGTAAAGACTCTGACACTAGTCAGTGACTCGATGCAACCTGCTTTGTTCCTTATATAGAAAACTTTTTACTGATTGGCTTAATGAACTGGGGCCTCATTTATCAAGCTTGCTTACTGGAAAATTAACAAGCTGTCGAGGAATATTGGCGCTCTCCACGAGCTCAGGGATGGATTACACCGCGCTGTGAATTCACGGACTCATATAATTGTCAGAGATGAGTCGTAAGCTTGGAATCTTTGGCTGAGATTCATGCGTTGGCACAAAAAATGGATGCCATCAAGAAGCGAGTGGACGAATCAGCACAGATTGGGATAGATTAATTTATGCCATTATTGGGATTTTGAGAGGTTGAGGACCAACAGAACTTTAAGACAGAGAGGAAATTATCTCTGTCTGGCCCCCAAACAATTTCTAATCTGAATCTGGTGCCCTTGAGCCTGTGAGGCTGCAACAAATAATCCCCCCTCAGAAGAAATGTGGAATGCTGCCATCGCTATGGCAACTCTGTCTCCCTATCACTGCCTGGGCGGGACTGCGAGCTGTGAAGGCCGCCAAATCGTTCCAGGAGTCACTGTGCCCTCTAAACCCAATGACCTCCCACCCCTGTCCAGACTGAGGTGACGTGCGCTGCTTATCGTGGCTGCAGCCACTGACGTGTGGAGAGTCCCAAACCTACTACCCCACCTAGTGGACACTTACGTTGTATAATGTCTGAAGTCTGTTGCATTTCTGTCTGAGGTGTTTTTGCATAGCAAAGCTGCCCTCCCTGTGGAGGGTAACTCTGAAGTGCCTTTTTTTCCCTCCACCTGAACCAATCCTCGTGTAACCCCTCTTATCTCTATTAAGGTAGCGCGACTCAGGGTTGCGAATGACCACAGTCACCAATTCTTGTCATGTGTCTTGCCCATGTATGTCTGATCTCTGAATTGTGTGTACTGAAACTTTAATTTTCCTCTGGGATTAATAAACTATCTTTGAATTTGAATTGAATTGAACTGAATTTAAATTTGAAAACGGGGTTGGAAAACTGCGTAAGCAACTTTCCATGCAAACTTTGGGATTTATGAAAGAAAACTTAGTGGAAAAATGTGTGCAACTTTAAGTTGACTAAGATCCTGGCTTACGCACATTTTGGACATGGAGAGCACCTGCAGTGCTGCTGCTGAGAAGATACAATTATGAAATCCTGTAGCATCATCACTTGTACTGCTTCGTTTTCACACAGAACAAGGCCCCCTACACGCACACACGCGCGCGCGCACAGCCTGCAGCGCAGAATACGGAATGCAGAATATCAGCGGGGGACAGATTGAGACAGCATGTCATGCGTCTTTGACAGTGTGAGGTCCTGTCACTGTGACCCGATTGATCATGCACCCTGGCTACTTGGACAAGAGAGATCTCTGTTTGGGTGACAAGTTAGTGCGTGTGACTTAAACCCGAGAGTATGGGGATCGAATCCCCATTGGACCATTTGTAAATATCCACCACAGATCTCTCTGAAGAATTCACAACATTGACGGCTTCAGCAATGCTGTGCCACTCTGTGGATTTTCTCTTATTTGTTTTGCAAAAGCACTTCCTTTCATTTCTCCACCTCACCCACAAGTACCTCAACTCCTGCTTTTGAAATTGCGCTTCTTTGATCTGCCTTGATCTACGGTCGCCATCGTCATTGGCGGAACGCTGCAACAGCCGGCTTATGTATATGCATGAGGATATTGACTATTTATGGCAGTAAGTGGGCGTGGTGAGGGCGGGATGTGACTAAAAAGCAGCTGAGAACCATTCTAGATAGTTTCTGATTTATGAAGCGGAGATTGCGTGCAGCTGTGCGTACTCCATGTTTGATAGATCACAAACCTACTTGGCGTAAGTACATTTTTTTGCTGAGCTTAAGTACGGTTTTAGTAAGGATTCTACGCAATGTTTGATAAATGAGACCCCTGACCTGTACTGGAATGTTTACTGTGTGAAGGTCCTTGAGAGGACTCTGGTCCTGATTTGGTGCTTTATAAATAAACTTGAACTGAATTGAATTGTGCGTTTCCCTGGTAGTCCAAAGAACTTAAAGAGCAAGTAACGTCTAAATTAACTTTTTTTTTTTGCTGATGAACTGTATAAATGAGTGTCTAATAGTGTTTTAAATGTGTGTATTCATTATTTTAGCATTTTGGTGCATTTTCTTTAAAAATTAAAAATTCTGCCTAAATACCACAGTATAGCGCCACCTTCAGCTTAAAACATAGAATTTGACTCATTTTGAATAAATTTTAGCCAATGGCTAAAGAGTAAGATACTACGTAAACCAGTAGAGTACTACGTAGCAGCTCCGTGTCCAAGTTATAAAAGCAACGAGCGTCTCGGCCACGCCTTGTGGCGAGTTGGGAGTTGGATTTGTCAGCGAGTGTAGGACGGTTAGCGGTAGTTCAGCATTAGCATATAGCATTAGCATATCCTAGTCTTTAGCGTAGCGTTATACATACTTATTTAGTGTTAGCTTGGCTGTTGGATAGTGTAGTTTAGTTAGTGTTTGGCTGTTAGTGTAATTAGGAAAGTAGTTCAGGTTTAGTGCTCCATATCGTGTTAGTATGCTGTGAGATGGTGTAGTGTAGTATGGTTGCGGTGGCTCTGTGGGGTTGTACTCCTTTCCGCTGGACTTAGAAATTAGGCGCCAGTGGTTGCTTGTCTGGAAAACATTCAGCTCCCGCCGGGTGCTGTAGTTTGCAACCAGCATTTTACCTGCGATTCTGCACGTCTCCGTTTGAAGAGGCTGTGCCCACCGTGGCTCTTCCGCGATTTAGATGCAGCCCACCGACTCTGCTCCCCTACCATGGCGGGCTCCAGTCTGAGGTGAGTAAGCTAAATAAAAGTTAACATCTTCTAAAGACAATTTCCTACCTAAATGCAAAGTTTGCGAGACGTGGTTCACTTCCTTTAGCTAATATCAGCCTGCACTGCCTTCGGGCTGAGTTGTCAAGTTCACAAAATGTGGAACGGGATGTAAGGTTAGAATCAGCGGCGAATCGGAACATATCTCGAAGCCCTGGCCGACAAAACGGTCCACATGGCTGTCAGGCTCAGAGAAAATTCGGGTTGTTTTTGTGTCAGTCGGTAATTCTGCAACAGTGACTCTAACTAACGCAGCACTAGTTGACACACAGCATTACAGCATGAAATCCAGCTTGTGACCCGGTTCCGTGAGGAATTCTGTTCAGGAGGTCGCATTTCAGGCTCTCCACATCATATATGACTGACTTTTACGTTATAATAACATCACACACTAGGAATGTTATAAAGTGTCTATATAGGAGTTTCTTTTGTATATTATCTGACTTTATAAACTCCAACAACAATGTGCTTCTATTTTTTTTTTCAGGCTAAATCTACCCAAGACACTGGCTGTCAGACTGATTTAGCTGCAAGAATGCACTTGTCCAGGCTGACGTGAAGCGTTACCCGTAGCAAAGGTGAATTATTTTTAATAATCTTCTATGTAAACATTTTATCACCTTCTAGTTTTAATTTGTTTTACAGATTGTTACACGTGATTTTATGCTCTTTTAAACATTTATAAATGTGCTGCTTCTTTGTTTTTTATAGAGCTCACAGCCGCAGTGTCTTGTGACACAGAGACCATGACAGAAATTCTTCTTCCAGAAAGTCCCAGAGCAGCGTCCACACCCCTGAAAAGACCAAGATGTGAGGTGTCTGCTGTTGATTCCAGCTTCCACCTCAGTGACAGTGCAAGCTCAGTGAACTGTTCAAGGTAAAAAAAAAAAAAAAAAAACATTTCAGAATTTTTAAGATATTAACAATTAAATAAGTATGTGATTACATCATGACATCATGAAGGAGGCTACTGATTCTGGCCCTGTGACACTTGGTGGTGACGTGTGAGCTGATTCACCTGGTAAATGACTTTTACATTAAATATTTTGTTCTTTGCTATCAAAAGTAAATTAACTAATAACCTGCATTATTGCAGGACACTCAGCAAAATATGGACTCTACACCATGAGGCAGGCACGTTAATAGTCTATAAGAGCACATAAGGTGAGCAACACCACATATTATTGTCATCACTGTACACTGTCCTGGATTTGTTTTCTTTCTGCATGATTTGTTTTCTTTCTGCATCTCATCATTAGCCTGGCTGATCACCTGATAACTCCTGTCATCTGGTTATGACAGCATGAGGATGTCCTCACACACCTGTAACCTATCAGCTCATCTGGCAGAATAGAGAGAGGAGACAATACCACATCTCCTGTTCCTGGAAAGCCTTCAGCCATCCTTCGATGACTGAGAACCTCCATCAGCTCTGTCTCCTGTCTGCCTACAATTATTATAATAAATATTGTGTTTGACAAGTTTTTTGTGCTGCCAAATATCTGATTTAGATTCCAGTTTTGATATTTTAATGGATATTTATAAATTACATTAATTGAATTATCACATTGCATGTTTAACTAGCTCTATTGTGATGAATTAAACTAGCACCTCACTGTTAAAAGCTCATTTTAATTTCAAGCATGTTTAAGTATTTATGGACATGAACAAAAACAGGAAATATATAAATTGAGATTTATTTAATTAATATAACAAATAAGGGGGAAAGAGTCATTGAAAGGCACATTCTTCTGGAAGCTCCTGATCCTGACGACACCAGCAGGAGACCAGCTGCAGACACCAGAGGACCTACAACCAAGAGCAGCTATTATCAGTAAATAAATAATAACATCAGGGCAGTTTTAGTGAGCTGAACACATTACAGAATAATTTTCTCATGGGGTAGTTTCATAACTTTATGCAGCAGACTGTAGCTTGAGCCCAGAGCTCCTGGAGAGCTGCTATTCAGCACGTTTCAGTGGATTTTCCTGCTTAGGTTAGATTAGCTGTTAAGCAGCTCAGCTATTTGTTGCTGATTAAAACCAGGTGTGTTGAAGCAGATAAATCTCTAAAACATGCTGAATACTAGCTCTCGGGCCGTGGAGCAAAACCCTGCAGCTAATCTGATGCTATGGCTAACGGCTACTTACCATTCAGAGCTGGTTCTGTTGGGTCGGTTCCGGTAATTTCAGGCAACCCACAAGCTCAAAACAATAAGGCTCAGGTCCGCTTGTCTCCTCCAAATAGACTTGGTCCCTTTCTTCTCGAGTGTCTGGGTAAGGAGGGGGAGAAACATCCTCCACTTCTAATGACTGCTCAGAGTGAAGGGAGCTAGCATCGTCTAGTTAGCCATCGTCTTCGTCACTGCCGCGGCTCCGCCCTCTCGGTCCTCCAGGCAACGCCTACTAATGTTGCAGTTTTTAAAATTGATACGTGGGTGGAGAAGGACTCCGAGGGGGACATTACTACTTCTTTAAGTTCATATTAAATCAAATATTCAAATACCAATCAGATGGATAATTCATATTTATTTGGAATATCACATCTTATTGATCATACAGTGACCTACTTAGCTTAGTTTCTACTTTTCTTTGACTTGCTTCAAGCTCACAGAGGGGTCTCCGTCACCCTCTGTGAGCTCGTCAGATAACCCTTGCACTGACACATATTGTGTTGCTGTTGCCTCAGTAACTGGTAAACTACAACTGTAACTTTAATCAACAGCTCTTCCTGAAAGAAAACATGTCACTGAGTTTGAAATAAATCAGGCCAAAGTGTTTATGAAACAAAACATCTAGATCAACAGATTCTGGTGTTTCGGCAGACGAAACACACCCAGATAAATCATAATACACACATTTAGAGTCAGAGCAGGATTATAAGCGTAAAAACATCATAACCTTTCCTTTGCACCAGAAGTGAGATGCGTGTAATGTAATAGAGATGTTTAACCTGCAAGCTCCCTTCCAACCGGGACCATTTCAGGTGCAAAACGTGAGCAAAAGCGTTTCACCCAGCTGGTCCCACGAGATCACAAAATTATGGGAGAATTGCAACACCACGAAAACCAAGCAAGAAGAAAGATGGCTGCATGCATCCAACGAGGTATGTGGTTTATTTTCAGTTATGTTTACCTCGCCTATGGAGGTTTCACAGGAAATGTCAAACATTTTTTGTACTAGTCAAGCAACTGGTAATCTGCACATGACTTTTATTTTGAAAATTTCCGGATGTTTTGCACTGCTTTTGTGATTGACGATAGGTCTAGCCTGAACTGTGGATTTTGAATTTGCGGACTACTCTGGAAGCACAGAATGTAAAAAATAGACTTGAAACGTAAGCAATGTGGCCTTATGCTTCTGGGACGGGTGCAAAATGTGATGCTTTGTGGCTGCTGGAAAGGAATTTGTCTACTACAACAGCGGCTAATTTTTGCAAAGTACGTTTAGATGTTGTTTAGCGGCCGTTTTGCAATACTTTTTACATCTGGTGGTAAGGAGGGGGTAACACAAATCACATAAAAAAACTTCAGTGTCCAACAGAAGATAACACAAACTGAAATCAAAGAACCATCAGGTACAACAGCCACAACAGAACACACAGAGTCCCAAACCAGGTGTTCCAGTCTTGAAAAATCACATTTGATAACTCCAACGTCACCAACTGATCAACATTGATGTTCCCTATCAACCGATGAGAGGAGAGTTGTGCCAGGTCCACCAAGGGTGGTGACAAGTCCACTGATAAAGCTCCCAAGTCCCCCAAGGGCTGGTCTGAGTACACACTGGGGAGAGGAGAGTCCACAGAGGGAGGAGCAGAGTCCACTGAGGAAAGTGCATAGTCCTCAGAGGGCACTGAGTATCTTGAAGACAGTTCCCAATCAACCAAGGGAGGCAACAAGTCCACCAAAGGCTGGTTTGAGTCCACCAAATGCTGATGAGAGTCCGCCAAAGGCTGGTGAGAATCCACCCAACGCTGGTCAGAGTCCATCAAATGCTGGTCAGAGTCTACAAAGGAAGGCAACACGTCCAACTTAAGTGGAACCAAATCCACTGTGGGCGCCACAGAGTCAACAGCAAATGATTCCAAGTCCACAGAGGGAGGCACAGACTCTACCGATGTTACAAGGTCTACCAAGGGCTGTTCTGAAAATATCAAGAATGACTTTAAATCCTCTATGGGTGGTGTCATATTTACTGAGTGAGACACCGAGTCTAGCAGGGGCATCACTGAGTCCACCAATGGCTGTAGTGAGTCTGCTGATGACAGTGAAAGGTCTACTGATGGCTTTATTGAGAATATCGAGTCTACTGACAGCTTTGCCAAGTCTGCTGGTGGCTGTACAGAGTATACTGGTGACTGTGCCAAGTCTGCTGGTGGCTGTGCGAAGTCTGTTGGTGGCTGTACAGAGTCTACTGATGGCTGTATCGAGTTTGCTGGTGGCTGTGCCGAGTTAGCTGGTGGCTGTGCAGAGTCTGCTGGTGGCTGTACAGAGTTTACTGGTGGCTGTGCCAAGTCTGCTGGTGGCTTTGCCGAGTCTGTTGGTGGCTGTGCCAAGTTTGCTGCTGGCTGTGCCGAGTCTGCTGGTGGCTGTACAGAGTCTACTGATGGCTGTATCGAGTATGCTGTTGGCTGTGCCGAGTCTGCTGATGGCTGTGCCAAATCTGTTTGTGGCTGCGTCGAGTCTGCTGGTGGCTGTGTCGAGTCTGCTGATGGCTGTATCGAGTTTACTGTTGGCTGTGTCGAGTCTGCTGGTGGCTGTGCCGAGTCTGCTGGTGGCTGTGCCAAGTCTGCCTTTAGATGTGTCAAGTCTGCTGGTGGCTGTACAGAGTTTACTGGTGGCTGTGCCGAGTCTGTTGGTGACTGTACAGAGTCTACTGATGGCTGTATCGAGTTTACTGTTGGCTGTGTCGAGTCTGTTGGTGGCTGTGTCGAGTCTGTTGGTGGCTGTGCAGAGTTTACTGATGGCTGTATCGAGTTTGCTGTTGGCTGTATCGAGTTTGCTGTTGGCTGTGCCAAGTCTGCTGATGGCTGTGCCAAATCTGCTGGTGGATATGTCGAGTTTACTGGTGGGTGTGCTGAGTTTACCGGTGGCTGTGCTGAGTCTGCTGGTGGCTGTGCCAAGTCTGTTGGTAGCTGTGTCAAGTCTGCTTGTGGATGTGCCAAGTCTGTTGGTGGCTCTACAGAGTCTACTGATGGCTGTATCAAGTTTGATGTTGGCTGTGCCGAGTCTGCTGGTGGCTGTGCCAAATCTGCTGGTGGCTGTGCCGAGTCTGCTAGTGGCTGTGCCGAGTCTGCTGGTGGCTGTGCCAAATCTGCTGGTGGCTGTGCCGAGTCTGCTGGTGGCTGTGCCGAGTCTGTTGGTGGCTGTGTCGAGTCTGCTGGTGGGTGTGCCGAGTCTGTTGGTGGCTGTTCAGAGTCTACTGATGGCTGTATCGAGTTTACTGTTGGCTGTGTCAAGTCTGTTGGTGGCTGTGTCGAGTATGTTGGTGGCTGTGTTGAGTCTGCTGGTAGCTGTGCCGAGTCTGCTGGTGGGTGTGCCGAGTCCATTGGTGGCTGTGCAGAGTCTACTGATGGCTGTGTTGAGTTTGCTGTTGACTGTGCCAAGTCTGCTGATGGCTGTGCCAAATCTGCTGGTGGATGTGTCGAGTTTCCTGGTGGCTGTGCTGAGTTTACCGGTGGCTGTACCGAGTCTGCTGGTGGCTGTGCCAAGTCTGTTCGTAGCTGTGTCAAGTCTGCTTGTGGATGTACCGAGTCTGTTGGTGGCTCTACAGAGTCTACTGATGGCTGAATCAAGTTTGATGTTGGCTGTGCCGACTCTGCTGGTGGCTGTGCCAAATCTGCTGGTGGCTGTGCCGAGTCTGCTGGTGGCTGTGCCAAATCTGTTGGTGGCTGTGTCGAGTCTGCTGGTGGGTGTGCCGAGTCTGTTGGTGGCTGTTCAGAGTCTACTGATGGCTGTATCGAGTTTACTGTTGGCTGTGTCAAGTCTGTTGGTGGCTGTGTCGAGTCTGTTGGTGGCTGTGTTGAGTCTGCTGGTAGCTGTGCCGAGTCTGCTGGTGGATGTGCTGAGTCTGTTGGTGGCTCTACAGAGTCTACTGATGGCTGTATCAAGTTTGATGTTGGCTGTGCCGAGTCTGCTGGTGGCTGTGCCAAATCTGCTGGTGGATGTGTTGAATCTGCTGGTGGATGTGTCGAGTCTGCTGGCGGATGTGTCGAGTCTGCTGGTGGCTGTACCGAGTTTACTGGTGGCTGTAGAGAGTCTGCTGGCGATTGTACCAAGTTTGCTGGTGGCTGTACTGAGTTCACCAATGACTGTATAGAGTCTCCTGATGGTAACTTTAAGTCCTCAAGAGATGACTCTGTCTCCACTGGCGATGACCTGGAGTCCGCTGGGAGCAGAAACAAGCCAGGGCTGTTGGACCCATCTCTACCTAGAAACCTGGAGGGATCATGATGACATTAGGTCAGAGCACACATAGCAGGTCCCAATCACCTGAGCAGATGTCAGGGGTAAATGATGTGGCTGGTGTATAAAAGCCTTTAATCTGTTAGTAAACTTCCTAGCAACACACTGGTGTTCATTTAGCTTTAAAAGTTTTACTAGAGAGCAGAATGCCTCAAAGTCCCAAGGAAACGAAGATGTGACCTGTCTTCATATAATGTTTAGATTCAGAAGAACATGACTAGGGAAGTTACAGTCATATCCTTTTGGCCCCGATCCGAGTCCTTTGATTTTGAGTATCTACTGGTACAGAGTCCTGATTCGATAATTCAGCTACACATTACAGTAAGAAGAAAAATGAAGAACGAATCCAAACTGTCCTTCAGGTTTTCTTATTTTATGTATTTATTTTTTGTACTTAGATAATTTCCTTAGTTTATCTGCCAAAAACATTCTTCAAGTCACACTGCGGTGACGCCATCCATCCATCCATCCATTTTCGACCGCCAATCTGGGGTCGGTTCGCAAGGGCAGCAGCCTAAGAAGGGAGGCCCAGACGTCCCTATCCCCAGCCACTTGGGCCAGCTCCTCCGGAGGAATCGTAAGACGTTCTGTGGCCAGCCGTGAGGCATACAGTAGACACTCCAGCATGTCTTGGGTAATCCTTTAGTCCTTCTCCCAGTTGGATGTGCCCGGAAAACCTCACCAGGTAGGCATCCAGGAGACATCCTACTAGATGCCCAAGCCAATTCAACTGGCTTCTCTCGATGTGGAGGAGCAGCGGGTCTACTCCTGAGCCCCTCTTGGATGACCGAGCTTCTCTAAGGGAGAGCACAGCCACCCTGGGAACAAAACTTTTTTCGGCCGCTTGTATCCGTGATCTAATTCTTTCGGTCACTACCCAAAGCTTGTGACCATAGGTGAGAGTTAGAATGTAGATCGACTGGTAAAAAACTGCCTTGTATAGAGAACAACAAGGTGGCTGCTAGGGTGCGGACACACAACTTGGCTAAAACTTTTTTCGGCCGCTTGTATCCGTGATCTAATTCTTTCGGTCACTACCCAAAGCTCGTGACCATAGGTGAGAGTTAGAATGTAGATCGACCGGTAAAAAACTGCCTCGTATAGAGAACAACAAGTTGGCTGCTAGGGTGTGGACACACAGCTTGGCAGCTCCTGTGCCTTTGCAAAAAAAAAAAAAAAAAACATCTAAAAAACCTTCTAAAAACCTCCGGACATCAGCTTGTCTTTTTGTTTTTACACATTTCTATCTTCTGTGGAGTTTGACATGTTCAGAAAACTGGATAACTATACCATTTTCCGACCCAAATGGAGTCAACATCTTTTGTTCACAAGATTCTTGGATTTTGGTCATGCTAGACCACCCCCAGGTAAACATGAACAATTAAATACACCACAACTGTCCCTGGGGATTCTGAATCTTGTTCTGATACTACATTTGGCTGGTGATCTAGAACTAAATCCTGGACCTAATTCAAACATCAGTGATTTGGACTGGCTACAGCTAATTAGCCTAGCTATCTCTGCATTGTTTTCCACCTCAACTAGCTGTGCTCGAACCACCGTCTCAGTTAGTAAGGTCACAACTGCAACTAATAGTGTTTGCGCCTCTGCTGTCCGGGCCTCCGTTTTAGCTGTCTGGGTCCCCAACTCAGCTAGCTGGACTTCCTCTCAGTTAGCTGGACCTCCACTTCTTCACATGTTGTCTGGGCCTCCGCCTTTGCTGCCCGGGTATCCACCTGTGCTGCCAGGGCCTCCACCTCTGCCGCCCAGGTCTCTACTTCAGATGCAATTTTACCAGAGTTATTTCCCCTTCCACCACCAATCTGTTAGCTTCTAGCCTAGCTGCTACTCTCTCCATTTCCCAACCTGAAACTCAATTGCTCCACTTAAATCCAGGCGCAAAAGAACTGTGGCAGACTCTTGGCTCAATGAGAATACTCGTGCCTTACAGTGCCAGTGTAGGTCATGTGAACGCCGTTGGTGGAATGATAAACTGCAGATCTCTAACCAACTATTGAAGGATTCTCTGTCCCACTACCAGAAAGTGGTCTGCTCAGCTAGGAATACATATTATGCAGAGCTAATCTCCAGGCATAATGATGATCAAAAGAAACTGTACAGTGTTCTCAACTCTGGTCTGTCCATCAAAGATTCTCCTACCCCCTCTTCCCCTACAGAGACTCTCTACACTGAGTTTCCAAATTTCTTCCTGCATAAAATCCAGGGTATCAGATCTAATGTCCTTCATTTAGGTCCGGCTGCTTTTGAGAAGTCTCACTGTACACCTCCGTTTTCTTGTTTTAGTCACGTTTGATTCTCTGTACTGGTTGACTTAATTATGGCTATGAAGCCCTCATGTTCTCCAGAGAACTGCCTTCCTCCCAAACTACTGTGTGATGTCCTTCCAGTGGTGGCCCCTGCAGTTTTGGATATTGTTTATTCCAGCTTCTCCTCTGGTGTGTTTCCTGCTGTATTTAAAAATGCGGTTGTTCAGCTGCTATACAAGAAACCAGGCCTGGACCAGTCTGTCTGTGCCAATTACTGCCCAATCTCAAGACTCCCATTCATTTCAAATGTCATTGAAAAATTAATTCTTACACAGCTCACTTTGCTCAGCTTTTTGACCCATTTCAATCAGGCTGCAGACCACATTACAGCACTGAATCAGCCCACATACGGGTTCTCAATGATATCCTGATTTTAACGAACTCTGACTCCTACGTCTTATTACTATTACTCAACCTGACCATGGCAATCAACACTGTAGACCACACCATTCTACTCCATAGGCTTGAGTCCTGGGTGGGTGTGATTAGTGCTGCCCTTGCCTGGTTCAAATCTAGCGTCCATATTGAGGACCGCTCTCTCCCAATGTTCTACTTCCACGGGGAGTGCCTCAGGGCTCTATCCTGGGTCCTCTCCTTTTCTCAATCTACATGCTCCCTCTTGGAAAGATTTTAGCCAGTCACGCAGTCAACAACCATTTCTATGCAGACGATTGCCAAATTTACCTACAACTCAGTCAACAGCACTTGCCTTCTGTTTTGTCAGAATGCCTCTCTGAGGTCATAATCTGGCTCTCCTCCAACTGCCTGTGGTTAAATGACAGCAAGACAGAAGCCATCTTTTTTTAAGCCCACCAACACAAATGGTGCTTCAGGTGTCCCCACTCTCCCCTCACTCAGTCTCAAATCATGTGCCGCCAGCCTCTATGACTCCACAAGTCAACGCTACTGTCAGGTTGTGCTTTTTCAACCCTGCTGCATCACATGTCTTAAATCCATCCTCAAACACCCGCATCTTGAGTCTGTCATTCAGACGTTCATTACCTCCTGTTTAGATTACACAAGGTTTGTGCTGATAGGGATTAATGCATCTGCCCTAGGCAGACTACCGACACACACATGACACTCCCACTCTTGCTGATTTACACTAGCTCTCTGTTAAATTTAGGAATAATTTCAAAGTCTTGCTTCTTGTGTACAAGGCTTTGGATGGCCTGTCTCCATCTTATCTGGCTGACCTGCTGTCTCCTTATGAACCCACTCATGCCCTTTGATCAGCCAATCACCTCCTGCTGGTGGTTCTGAAGGTTTACTACAAATCACGGGGAGAGCGCGCTTTCTCTCATGCAGCCCCAAAACTCTGGAACTCCTTGCCCCTCCATGTACGTTTGGCTCCTTCGCTCAGTAGGTTGAAATCCTCCATTAAAACACACTTCTTCAGCATCACCTTCCCTTCACAATCTTCTGCACTAAAAATTGCACAAATCTCTGAGGCAACGTCTCTGCTATCTGTGCATCCTAGCGCTGTTTTCCTTTTTTCCATTAGTTTATTTTAATTAGTTACTCTTAGTTGAACCTTGCGATATTTCTTAGCCCTTTCGGTTTTATTAGTGTTGTTTTTAGCTTTTACTTGTTCTCTTTGTCTGCTATCGTTAACATGTATTTGTATGCTTTGCTTTTTATGCATTTTAACAAAATCCTTAGTTTTATGCTATATTTCCATAGTTGTGTCTGAGCCTTTGGCTTGTTTTGTACAACACTTTGGTTAGCTGCCTTATAAATGAATTGGTATGGTATGGATTCTTGAGATAGCGCCATCATTCATACAAACCTCATGCTGCTGACGAGACTGACTGAAGGAGATGGACAGTCCTCTGTCTGACTGAACTCTTTTTGGTGTGAATCAAAGGCAGCAGGGCCAGTTTCAAATGGTTCAGCCTGGGTGAGGCACTGACTAGCGTGGATACAGTGAGAACCAAACCTCTGCTCAATGTTGGACTGGAACACATTGGACTCTGCTGTCTCTGCCAGTGGTGGCAGGGAGACGTCATCAGGAGATGCACAGTCATACTCGTCACTGGACAGGAAGTCCACCATTGCCTCACGTTGACGTAATCCAACATGTACTGAAGCATCCTAGACAAAATCAACAGCATCAGTACAGTGGTCTGGATTAGTGATTCCCAACCTAGGGTTCAGGACCCCCCTCATCCCCAATTAGTCTTAAAGGAAGGTGTGTGTGTGTGTGTGTGTGTGTGTGTGTGTGTGTGTGTGTGTGTGTGTGTGTGTGTGTGTGTGTGTGTGTGTGTGTGTGTGTGTGTGTGCAGGGGGTGCTGGCATGTCTTGGACACAGGAAAGAGTCCTCCAGGATAAAAGGATGGTAAACGCTTATCTGGATGAAACCAGAGCCCATTCTTTCCTAAGCTAGTCTCAGAATATTTGATATAGAGTAGAGCACATGTGTCAGACACAAGGCCCGCGGAGCATTTTTATGTGGCCCATGAGATAAATATCAAAAATATATTAAAACTGACCAGCTGGCTGATTTTACCGCAAAGACTACAACTCCCATGATGCTTTGCGGCGTTAGCGCGGAGCCGAAGCGCCCGCCCCCTCCTTTGTGTTTTTTCCAGCGTCTGCTGCCAGTGTCTGCAGCTCCGCTGTCTCAGACAAACTAAACACTCCTCTCACTCAGCGCCAAGTTCACTCAGCTATTTGCCGACGTTGAAGCCCAGAAACGGAGATTTTAACCGCTCAGTAATGTGTTCACGACTGAAAGAGAAAGTGTTCCAGCTCCAGCAAGCAGCGACACGCTCAAATCAGCATGACTCTGTGGCTGCTGTCCTTGTTATTTTTCCTCCCCGAACCACAACAACGTGGTCAAGCTGCTCAGACATGTTCATCAGCACAAACCTATGTGAGCACCTGGTGTCATCTAATGTTGTCATTATGATGATGAAGATGAACAAAACAACAGGAGTCTTCTCCTCAGCTCAGATCAACCCCATGATGCAGGTATCTGGCTGGAACAGGTGAGCATCACAGTAAACCAGTGGAGCAAACTGAGCTTTAAATATGTTGGTTTTATGCTCTTTTTCTGCTCCAAAACATGAAAGTTAACAGGTGAGATGTTGCATTTTCATTTAAGATAAAATGATATTTTTATTTTGTTGTTGGCCCGTGAGAAAAGATTTAACCTACAGTAAACAGGAAGTGGAAAGGCTGCAGATAGATGAATAGAATAGAAAATCCCTTTATTGTTCCTCAGTGGGGAAAGCTAGATGTCACAGCAGCGATGACACGTATTACAGGAGAAAAAAAAGGAGAATAAAACATAAGAAAAATGAATAAACAAGAAAACATAAATCCTGAATAGATTTTAAAAATGCTGATTATGCCACAAGTAATGAATACCACTGATGCCTTTTATTTAAAACTGACTTGCTCGTGTGTAATTTGGTTATTCCACATTCAGTGTTAATGCAGAAATAAGTTTGTTTCCAAATTAAAAGTTCAAAATTGCATATATGTTGATAAAGAAAATGTGCAAATTTGCCGTCACTTTTTCAAAAATATTAAGTTTGGCCCTCGGCTCCGTCCCAGAGTTTCATTTCAGCCCTGTGTGAGTTTGAGTTTGACCCCCCTGGAGTAGAGTATCCTCAGCTTGATCGTCTATGTGAAAGTGGGGCCTGTTGAAAGCACATTCTCAGGAGAACATCTGCCCCAGTAAAGGTTAAAGTTACCTGTTGTTCTGCTCTCATAGTCTTGTCCTGAAACTTGATGATGGAGAATGATGGACCAATAGCAGACCGAGGAGGCATGGCCCAAGTCTCAGTGGGGACATTTTGTGATTCTTTGTGGATAAGGAGACTGGAGAAGGAGCTGCTAGGAGCAGGAGGAGGTGAAATATAATGGATCAGATAGAATGTGGACTGACTGAGTAAAGCTGAGTAAAGCTGTGTTTGTTTTCGGCCTGTCATTTCACCACTGGAAGGCACTAACTCCATCCTGATCCTCATAAGAAGGCTGCTCTGTGGTCTTCACCAGGCAGGAGGTGGTTTCACACAGCTGAGACAGACAGATGGTGTTGGTACCCACCTGCTCTCTGAGACAGCTGCTTGGTTGTATGCTTCTAACCAAGCTGTCCTATTGGCTAACGCCGCCTCTTTCCCGTCCAACTGAAAGGTCTGTTCAGGGGTGTGGCCTGTCTCTTTCAGCTCACACTGGAAGAGAGAGTTCATGTTATCATCTGATTTTATGGATAAAATACTTGATGTTGAGTTTCTCCCACCATGTCAGCAGCTTCCAGAGTGCTGTGGTTCTCTAGCACTCCCTTCGGCTTCTTCTCCTGTCCATCAGGTTCTCTTTCTCGTCTTTCCTCACATTCTTCTTCCATCTTTTCCTCACGCTGTTCCAGATTCTCCAGCAGAAAACACCACAGAATCATCAGACATTGATGTATCAGGTGGAAGAAAGAAGCCCAGGGTGAGCATATGAACCCATGATGATCATGAACTCTGAGTCAGAAACCACCTGAGCCCCTCTGACTTGTGCTCTGGTTCCATGAATCGTTACCTTCAGTTTGGCTTTCAGCTCCATCAGCCTTTCACTCAGCTCTCTGATGGACTCGACCACAGCAGAGTGTTTACTCATCATCTTCTGGATGTGGTACGGACCTTCAACCTCCCCTGTAACAATTACGACTTCAGATACATCTTCTACGTTCTGTACCAGGAACCTCCATCAGACCTTGTGTTGTGTTGGTACCCACCATGTAGCCTGATGGCCAGCACACACATCTGACCAATGCGCTCCTCCTGCTCAGGAACCGTTGGCCAAACAAACTTCTCAAACTGACGAAACAGGACGGACACGGCTTCAGTGCTGCCACACTCCAGAGAACAATCCTTGACCTGAGTGATGATGTCACTGGCCTTCTCACACCAGCGCTGGTGCTGTGGATGCAGACAGATGGGTCAGTAGAACCTGAGATGTGAGAATTGATGATCGGGATTGGCAGAAGCGGCTGAGACCTCCTCTATGGCCTTCTGCAATCTGCATGTCATCTTCAGGGTTCTTAGGCATCCAAACATGCTGGAATCCAAGTCTCCCATCTGTCTCTGCAGCTCACTGGTGGAGTCCTCCTCCACCTGCCGGGGGGCCACGCCCCCATCCTGCACATCGTATCTTAGCCGGAGCACCGCGCCGGCAGGTGTCCTGAGTTCCTGCAGGAGAAGACACACCCACAGTCCTCACATCTGTTTTCATAACCAGATCTCAGTCCTGATGTGGCACCAAGTCTGATCTGGACCAGTACCTGTAGCTTCTCCTGGAACACCTCCTCCTAATGCACCTGGTTCCAGATGACCCAGCCCAGAACCTTAGACCTGACCCAGTCCAGAACCTTACTAAATCCCTTAACAAGGTTAGAACCAGGTCACAGTTTGGTTGGAACCAGACCAGAACTGCTCAGCTCATTGCTGATGGATATGTACCCTGATGAGGTTATTTTTAGAGCAGCAGAACATTTCTGTCCCAGACGGGCGGAGCTGCAGTTTGGTATGTGGGGGCTGTCAGCTGAGAGACGACAGTCCACCCTAGGACAGACCTGTCTTCTTCTGTCCAGGGGGGGGGGGGAGATCCTCCAAATCCCATGTTAGTCAGATTTTATTTATAAAGAGCTTTTCAAGCAAAGGTGCTTTACAAAATTAACATGACCCCGAATTCCCACAACAGTTATAAACACACACACACAAACACGCACGCACAGGCACACACACACACACACGCACAGGCACACACACACAAACACGCACGCACAGGCATGTGCACACACACAGGCACACACACACGCACAAACACGCACACACAGGCATGTGCACACACATACACACACGCACACACACGCACACACACGTGCGCACGCACACACACAAACTCACACACATATACACACACACAAACACATACACACACACCCTCTCACACACGCACACACACACACACTCTCACACAAACACACACACACACACACCCACACACGAACGCGCACACACACACACTCTCACACAAACGCATGCACACACACACACACAAACACACACACACTCGCACAAACACGCACGCACAGGCACACACACACACACACGCACACACAGGCATGTGCACACACATACACACACGCACACACTCACACACACACGTGCGCACGCACACACACACAAACTCACACACATATACACACACACAAACACACACACACACCCTCTCACACACATGCACCCACACACATGCACACACAAACACACACACACACACACACGCACACACACACACACACAAACACACACACACACACACCCACACACACACACACACACACACACACAGCACAGCTGTTTTTGAACTGGTTCTCGCTCTGCTACAGCACACTGGGACCAGTTGAACCAGTGGATTGAGGCTAACTGGGACAGCTGAGAGAACAGCAGCTTCCTGTGCTGGATGTTTACGGACCGACCTTCAGGAGACCCTGATGCCTACAAAGCAAACTCTGGGCCGTTCAGAAACTTGAGCTCACCTGAATGATGTCATTGTGCAGCAGGTTAGTCAGCTGATCACTGGTCAGCTTCTTTTCCTGTTGGGCCACTTGGTTCCACCACGATGCGTAGAGAAGGTCCAGAGAGTGGAGACGGGCCTCTAGCTGCTCCACCTGGAACCTGGCCCATCCCTGAAACAGCAAGAACGGATCTCAGAACCAGGAACAAAACAACCGGACTTGTTCTAAAGTTTTCCTGACTGACGTTCTGAGAGACTGCTCTGCACAGGTCCAACTTCAGTGTTGATGTTGTTTTCATCAGGTTCTGGATCTGCTGCTTTGCCTCCTGGTGCTGGTTCAGTCCACTGGATCTACTAGTAGAACCAGAACCAGGTCTGGCGTGTTCTGGCTGAAGCAGCAGCTCCAGCTGGATGAGAAAACCCACATATAGACGAGTAATAAAGAACCGAGAAGTTCTACAGGGCCGATTGTTCAGACCACTCTCCTGCTGGTTGGTTTATAACCATAAACAACCCCAGAGATAATGCTAGTAATCCTCTAGAACAGTGGTTTCCAACCTTTTTCCCAAGGGACCCCGTTTTTTACAAGTAAAATTTTTGACGACCCCCTCCCATTCTCTCTTCCAGTACAAACAGTATTAAGAAATGATAAAATGGTTCAAGCACATTTTAATATGCTTTGATTCAATAGATAACAGTAATAGAAGGCTCCAGTACAGAACAAAGTCATTAACAAAACCAAACAGAGCATAATGTGCTTGACAGTTTGTATTACTTTTCTGAACACATTGTTTCTTGTAATCACTGATAAATCAATCATTCCTGTCAATAAACGTTTGACACATAAAAAATACACTGAGCAAAATGTACTTAAATGTGTATATTACTGTTTATACTAGATTATTTACTGTAAAGGCTGTGATTAATCAACCAGTCCTATCTTTAATGAACTTTTGACACTTGAAAATAAAACAGTGAGCTGAGCAAAATGTTCTTAAAAGTGTGTTACTTTTTCTGTACTAATTATTTCCTGTCTTAATATCAGTAAACTTTTCACTCATGAAAAAAAGGGGGCAAAAGGCTATAAACAAGTAATAAATGAAGTTTTAACCCCTTAAAGTGGAGAGGTCCTGGCGACCCACTGAGAGGTTTTGGCGCCCCCTTGTGGGGGTCGGGACCCCCAGGTTAGGAACCACTGCTCTAGAACCACGTGCACGTTTCCTTGTCTTGATTCCTACACATACTCAAAGCAACAAGGAGTTGTGTTCAGCTTCTTTCTGTCACCTTCATCAGGGCGTCCACATGTGTTACTGACAGCTCTTCTGTTGCTCTTTATGTGCGGGCAGAAGAGGACAACGTCACCTTCTACCGACCATGTTCTTGTAAAGTCATGTGATGTTTTACCTTATTATGAAGTACCATTGCTAAGTAAGGATGTGTCCGAATCCACGGGAAGGATGCTTGCAAGAGCGCATTTTGAGGTCGATGATGTCACAGCGCAGCGACGAGTACTGTCCGAATTCCAAGAATACTCATTCTCGCGTCCTCAAATGCGTCCTCGCTCCGCCCACATTTCAAGGACGGGTCTGTTGTCTCCTCACAGAACAAGGCTATCCCAGCATGCTTTGCGCACCGGCTGTGGATTTTCAACAGGAAAATGGGGGAGAGCTACAAAGTTTTAAACGTAAGTTTGTTAAAAACTAGCAGTAGAAACCTGAAAAGCTTAAAGCGGTTCAGTTTATAGACATTTTTATTTTGCATATTTGTTTATTAAATTACATTTTAGGCAGAAATCTGAACGAGTTTGTATCGTGGTTCTCCCCGCAGCTCGATGCATCTCTGTCTGATCGCGGCTTCTGTTTGATGCGCGGGCTGCCGGCTTGTGGAGCTTTGGGATGGAAACCTTTCCGCCCGGTTCTCCCCAGCGGCAGCTCTGCGCATCTCAGATCGCAGCGGCGCTCATCTGCCGGCTTGTGGAGCTCTTGGGAGACCTCTGTGTTCCACCCGGTTTTACCCAGCGGTCAGCCCGGCGTATCTCTGGCTCAGAAGCTCTGGTGTTGTGCACAGTTAACTCCGGTTGTAGCTAGGTTGCTACCTCCGTTAGCTTAGCTCCCACCTCCGCGTTAGCTTTGGGTTAGCCAGGGTTAGCTTGTAGCTAGTTCAACCGGGTGTCGTCAGTTGATCCCAGCCTTACAGCCCCACCCTCAGCTCCTCCTTCTCTTCCCATTTTTGGAATTGTCTGGGCTTGACGGAACCTGTGACACGGTCAAAATGGCGGTGGTGGCCACCTCCCATTTGGCCTCAAAAACGTGATATTGGAGCCTATGGAGAGGAGATGTCCAGTATATTTATGTCGATGGTGTCTACTAGTCGGCCATCTTGGACCACCCTCAGGCTGAATCATCATTATATGAGTGGATTCCTGCAGCAGCAGCGCCCTCTCTGGTCAGTCAAGGAACAAGCTGGAGTTGGGTTTAACAGTAACCCTCGTTCATGTGCATCCTCCACTGGTCAAACAGCAAACTTGTCCCTGACGCGGCGGGTTCCCTTGGATGTATGTAGGGGAAGTGTTGCATGGACATAAAGGCGTGTTTTACATTTTGGTTTAGATGTGGGTTTCTGTCCGCTTCTTGAGGTCTTATCGTTTAATCGCTGAGATTTTCCACCAGAATAAACAGGGGTTAGATGGGCGGGGCCAGTTCCTCTCACCTTATTAGCTGTGCGGTGGAAACACCTGCTCAAGCTCAGGATGAACTTGCTCGGCTGGATCTTCTCCTTTACGGTCAGCTGGAGCTTCAGCAGCTTCTCCATCCATGCTCCTCCCTCCACCTGGGTCTGGACTCTTTCCAGAATCTCCTCCACCTCAGCATCCAGCTGCTGCAGAGAAGAGAGGGACAAGAACTGGTTCTGATCCACACACAGGAAGTCCATTTTGTCCAGGAAGCATCTCGCACCTTGTCCCACACCAACATCTAGGATCTGCAGAAGCCCGTACCCTAAAATGTGCTTCAGCCTCTCTGAAACAGGTCAGCAGCCTGGAGGTCTGCAGGTCTGAGCCCAGATCCATCAGGGTGCAACTGTCCAGCAGTTCTGACACACACTTGAGGTCCTGCAGGTTCTGACCACAAACTGTTCTGAGACAGAACCTACGAACTTAACCAGGTGACCCAAACAATGACCTTCTTACCTTCTGAAGCCTCTCCTGGTCTTTCCTGCAGAACATCAGTTCCTGGTACTGACAGCTCTCGGCCTGGTCCCGGGACTGAAACATCCGGAACCATCTCAAGTTTAGTTTAGTTCTGAAGAGCATTGATGGCCGAGCTGCTCTCTGATTGGACCAACATGATCATGTGACCGATTTAAGTTCTGTATCCTTGGGTTCTGCAGGACTTTCTGTTTTAGTCTGGATATAGTAAATGGTACCTGGTTCTATCAGGATCCACCTGAACCGGGTACTCACCTCTGAGCTGGGTCCAGACTTCACACCAGAACCGGTCTTCAGACCTGATCTGAAACTGGATTGAACGTCTCTGGTCTTTAATGGTCTGGATTCCATCTCTGGTTTCTTGGTCTGCTCTGATCCAGATTCAGACCTTGGACCCCTACTGTCCCATGGCCAGGGTTCTGGTACCTCTGATCTGGACCCAGGCTGCAGGTTCCTGTCCAGTTGAGTCTGATCCTGTGATTCTGACATCTGCTGATGGAGAAGAAAGATTAGAACTCAGACAGGAAACAGACGAAGCCTTCAGTCGGTGGCTGTGACCTTTGACCCCTGGACTTCCAGGGCCCGCTGGAGCTGCAGCCTGAAGACCTGCTCAGCTTTCCACCTCTGGTTCTGTAGGATCTCCATCAGCTGTTCCAGCCTCAACATAGCCCCTCTGCTGCTCTGGGAACTCTAGAGGAGGGACAACACCAGGAGGAACTGGATCAGAACCAACACAGGATCTGAGGTCCCACCGGGAGGACTAGCCACTGTTTCAAGTACAGCTTGTATGTAGTCTACATCTGTTAGAGAACATCTCACAAGTGATTCCTTAAAGCTGCAATCCGGAGTTTTCCTCTTTCAGGAACTATTTAGGATTTTTTAGAAATCCTTAAAAATGATTGTCCGACCCTGCGCTGTGATGACCCCTGACCCTAGGCAATACGTGGTTTTTTGCTAAGCCCCCATGTTTTTAGCTCAGTGTGCTGGCTAGAGGTGCATGCTGATGAACGCGAGGCGTTGCTTTCAACCGTAAATACAGAAGTGATTAGAACATCCTAAAGAGCAAGTCACCCCCAAATCAACTTTTTTTCCTGATAAACTATATAAACGCGTGTCTAATCGTGCAGCAGACACGTGTAGTCAATAGTTTTGCACTTTAGTGCATTTTAGTTCAAATTTAAAATTTCTGCCTAAAACTGTCAGTGTTGTGCCGTTGTCAGGTAAAAACTCTGCACTGTATTTGAATTTAAATCTGCCATTGCTATTGGCTTAGAGGTACCCTAGAACGTTAGCTGGTACCATATGATGTCACAATGTCATTGTGAGCCTGTGTGTGTATTTGTTAGCGGCTTCGCCCTCTCGTTCTGCTAGGCAACAGCATTTGTTGCATTTTTCAAACAGGAAGTGGGAGTGGAGTAAGACTCTGGTAGGGGGTGACTTGCTCTTTAAGGTATGATTCATTCGTCAGCCACTAGATGGTGTTGTCTAAAAATAATACTCCAGATTGTAGCTTTGAGGGCCCAGTTCTGAGCCCCCTCCTAACAGGAGCCAGGGACAACAGACACCTCCCCACTAATCAGCCTGAATCAGATCCCTGTGAAGACCTGGAGCCTCATCAGAACATCTCAGATGGCTTCGTCAGAGAGGAACACAAAAAACCTGATTCGCCTCCTCTTTCTCCTCCCGCAGTTCTCCTCCTCTCCTCTGGAGGGCCTCGATCCTCTGCAGTTGTCTGAGGTTCTGTTGCAGAGCGCTGTAGCTGGTTAGAACCTGAAAAGACTTCTCCAGAATCTCTGTTGGTCAGACACAAGCAGAGGTCAAACATCTGGAGCTGTTTGATTAGTGGTGGACTGGGGGAACTAGTCTGAGAACCAGAACGGTCAGACCAGCAACCACGAGTCTGTCAGCACCAAACCTCTACTTACCTCTCCTCATGGAGTTGAATGAGACCTGAACTCCAGTCAGTCCCTCTTCACCAGGTGTTACCTTCAGGTCCTCCAACCGCCCGATGCTGATGGACATCTGGAGACAAACAAATTGACCTGTTTACCGAGAGCCAGTGTTGCCACAGTTACCTTGAAATAGCAATCTGATTACTGACTACTGATTATTCCTTCCAAAAGTAACTTAGTTACTTTACTGATTCATTTATTTAAAAAGTAACTAAGTTAGATTACGAGTTACTTTATTAGTTACTTTCAGCGTCTACCAAAAACACTCTCCGCTGCCTCACCATAAAAACTACAACTGGTTTTGCCAACACTCGAGTGCAAATACTTTTTAACAGTAATGTCAACAACGTATCTTCTTACATGTTAAGTTGAACTTAAAACCTGCCTGACATAATGCATGTTTGTATGAAAATAAAATAGTTATTCTTGACCTCACTTAACCCTTTGATGCATGAACTATGAAATCTTCAACCATGATTTTTTTTAACAATTTTTTTCATTCATCTTTAGGTGTGAATGAAACAAATTTCAACAAATATTTTTTGTAACATTTTATAATTTACAAATAATTTATTACATGTCCACTTCAGTGGACAGCGTGCGTGCTGAGCATGAAATATGTTGGCTTGACTTACTGAAGTCCAGATGGAGGGGCTCAAATGCAATAAAGTCTTCAACAGCTGTGCTTAACAGCAAAAACAAATAAATAACAATTTTGAGTACCTGTCCACTGTAGTGACCATTATGCATCAAAGGGTTAAAATAAATAGTTCATAAAAAATAAAACGCACAGAGTGTACAACGAACCTTAATATTTTCATCTTTAGCTGACACAAACTCTAAATAACAGGGGTCGGCAACCTTTTCCCATCAAAGAGCCATCATTACCCGTTTCCCACGGTAACGAAAACACTGGGAGCCACAGCAGCCGCGGCGGCCCACCCTAAGACAGCCGAGAGCTGCTTTAACCGATCACTACAGGTGACAGCAACCAATACCAGTCGCTCATGAACCTTAAAGTTATCTTTCAACAGAAGATGATAAATAAAAGTTTGTATAAAACTGACCCAGAACTTGTAGCCCGTCTGTGTCGACGGTACTTTGATATTTTTCACCGTTAGTGGTTTTAATGTTGAGCAGGTGACACTTTTTGACGCGTCACACACGTCTCCTTTCAAAACATGTTTAAAGTGTTCAGAATACAAATCCAGGCTCTGTCTCGTTGGACTGTTGTAATTCAACTTGGTGCTGAACTAAACTTTACATTAAACAATGTTGAAAGGGTAAGAAAAGGATCCGATCAATTTGTTTTTGCCTCATTTACAGAGATGGAGATAACGGCGTAGTGTGCCTGGCTCTGGTGTTATTCAAGTTTAATGTTCCTGTTTGCAACAATCTTCACAAGAAGGCAAAACAGTTAAATGACAGGAATATTTCCCGTATTTGACCATTTATTTTGACGGAGAAACCTCAAGGCTGCAGATGCGCTGATATTTTTTATCGCTGTGCACAGTGCGGAGGTAGCTACATCAATCAAGAAAAGATTCCCATCAGAAACTCTGAGCTGGACACTGAGCTCCGCAAAGCCAGTGGCGTGTCCAGATCTTTTAAAATGGGGTGGCCCAGGTGAGGCACAACTTTGTGCATGGGTGGCACCAATGGTTATGCTTTTGTTGTTTTACCCCCAAGCCTTTTGTGGACATTGAAAAGCCTATTTAAAGGTAAATTAGTGTGGTGGCACCTGGGGTGGCCAATAAGATTCCAAGGGTGGCATGTGCTACCCCAGGCCACTCCCTGGACACGCCCCTGCGCACAGCTCACTGTCAGTGCACACGTAAGATGGACAGCAAGCTGAAGATGTGTAGATTGGGGGCTTGGAGCGCGTTGCAGGACCAGAGCCATGCAGGGAGGTTCCTCTCACTGAAGCGAGTGTTTTCCAAACCCGGTCTCTCAGAGAGACTTGTCACTTAGAAAATGTTCCCTGATTATGAAACTTTGGCTGAATAGCGCTTGTTCCTGTCTCCAACGTGGCGACGCAACCATGAGCCTGTCTGAGGAAAAGTCCAGAATCTCACATCCTCTTCAGCTCAGAAAGCTCCGATTACCCACAAGCAGGTGACCCGTCAACCGTTGGACCTGTTCAGGTTTACGCAGACTATCTTTACATTTAGAATTGGCTTACCGATAAAAATGAATGCAGCAAAATTAAATATTCATTAATTATTTTATAAGCAGAGAGCCGCATCAGATGGATGAAAGAGCCGCATGCGGCTCCAGAGTGCATTATGGGTAGCCAGCTTTCCAGTTTTATGTTCTGTATTGTGCGTTTTGTTGGGGTTTTATTTCAGGGTTGTGTTTGATGTTTTTAGTCGTTTATTCAGTAATATGACGGTGCTTTTTTTGTTGGTTTTATTTTGCACCACGAGTGAGAGTTATATTCCAACATCGTGGTGCCATTCTACTATTTAGTGAAGCAATACTCTGCTTCCATTGTGCAAGGAAAGTGTACGTTGATTGGTCAAATTCATTATGCAAAACTGTTGTTGGCTCCTCTGCCATATTCATTTCCTTCACTCAGGATTTTCTTAAGCAGAAAAAAATTCAGAGTAAAGGATAAAATAACGCAGGATGGCTTGCAGTGATGGGAAGTCCGGCTCTTTTTAGAAAGCCGGTTCTTTCGGCTCCCAAGTGGCTCCTCAGATTTTCTGTTGCGTAGAGTACATTTATAACAAAAATAATGCAAAAATATATGTAAAATGATTTACTAATGTAAAAATATGCAATTTATCAAATATTTATCATTTCTATGGATTCATTAACTGAACACTTTAAGAAATCTCCACTTTCCGACTGCTGGCGCTCATTTTCTCACCGTCTTCGTCGCACTCTCCTCTCGCTCGCCTTTTTCCTCCTCCTCATTCCCTCTCGTCTCCCTCCACCCGCATGTGCTCTGCTTTGTGTCTGAGTGTGATCCTCCCTCTTCCCCGCCCCTACTGCTCTGTGTGTGGACAGTCTGGACACACAGTTACACATGTTGACCAAACGTCTGTAGCTTTCACCAAGGCAAGAGGCGAGGGGGGAGGGGAGGGGATGGCTCCCGTTGTTCACTTCAAAGAGCCGGCTCTTAGAGCCGGTTCGTTCACGACCGACACATCACTGATGGCTTGGACAAGTTACTTTAATTTGATTACTAGTATGGAAATGGTAATGTGTTACATTACTGGCATCAGAGCAAGGTCAAGGTCATCTGGGGTGATGGCAATGACCTTCTAGATACGACATCAGGGTTCCTCCTCACAGATCTGAGCGTAGGGTGGACGGGGACGACAATTTGGGCCTAGCGGCTCTCAGAGTGTGTGTGTGTGTGTGTGTGTGTGTGTGGGGGGGGGGGGCATGCAACCCCCCGGATGAGCAGCCCACTGGGACTGGCACAGATAGGCCATTCCTGCCCTGGTGTTGTTGACCATCTAGTACAGGTGTATATATGTCCCTGAACACCAGAACGGCTGTGACCATGCTTACGACCAGCATCTAGTGGTAGAGCGGCAGAAACCACAACACTGAAGGTCTCAGCCCTCCACTAACATGTCACCTAGTCAGTAATATCTGTGGAGAAACAGCTGCATCACATCCCTGCTGATAGAGCTTAGGAAGACACCTGTGACCCACGGGAACCTGACAATAACAGAATGGATTATTCAGCCCGTTACTCGACGTGTTTTCAGATCCAGCTTTATTCTGACAGGAACCTCTGCTTCTGTCCACTTTTACTTTTAACCTGTTGGTTCCTCCTGAGCCGAGAGAACCAGAGCCTCCATCTGGCTCTCACTGATGTTGAATTCAGGGATGTCCCTCATGAGCTTCAGAGGACATGGCATAACCAAATATGGTTATTTCAGGGTGTTTCTGTATGTAAATGACTGAACAGACATGAGCACCTGGGTACGCGCATGTGGGATTAGTCATCAGATGATTGTGCAGGAACAGGCAGACCACCGCAGGTTTCATAAATCGGGATTTTTCTGTTTGTACAAACATTCCAGATTTCCTTCGTAGGATGGGTTAAAGCACGGTTTCTACCAACTTTGATGGAGGGAAGCCCCGGATTCTAATTTAGTTGGATTCACTTTTTATTGTATTGCTTCTGTTTTCATGACAGTGACCTGAGTGTCCTCATACTACCCCCAAAGTGCTTTAATTCACTTCAGTTCAGTTTATTTACAAAGCGCCAAATCAGGACCAGAGTCGTCTCAAGGACCTTCACACAGTAAACATTCCAATACAGGTCAGGTCATTAAGCCAATCAGTAACAAGTTTCCTATATAAGGAACCCAGCAGGTTGCATCGAGTCACTGACTAGTGTCAGAGTCTTTACAGCAATCCTCATACTAAGCAAGCATGCAGCGACAGTGGAGAGGAAAACTCCCTTTTAACAGGAAGAAACCTCCAGAGGATCCTGACTCCGTGCCTCTAAAACCAAGGTTTAGGGGGCCTAGCATTGCGTGGACCAGCAAAATGTCCCACAATGCAAAAATGTCCACTTAAACCTATAAATACAAGTACACACACACACACACATTGGTATTGATGAGCTGCATCATAGCCACAGCGGCCCGGCGACACACCCTAACTAAATGACTGACTGGGACTCGAACATGCAACCCTCCTATAATGGAATGAATGAATGAACGATAGTACCTCCACTGTCCCAGCCCACCTCTGTGGCGCTCCTGTAGAAGTCTGAAGCCAGATGAAGGACCTCCAGCTGTCTCTGGAGCAGGTGGAGGAGTAGAGACCATCCCTCACTCAGAGACACCTTCATTTCCTGGTTCAGCTGCTCCTCCTGGTTCCTCCTGTGCGCCACCATCCCTTCATCTATCTTCTGCCTTAGCTTCTCCTCAGCTTTCTTCTCTACTGCCATCAGAACCTCGGATTCATGTTTCTTAAAACATTTAACACAATGAAATTTAGAACGCCCGTAGCAACACAAAATAATGAGTGAAAGAGAGTGAGCCTGTGGTCCGCCGGCCTTCCATCAGATTCATGAGCGGCGTGGGGCTTAGTGTTACTGAGGGCCTCGCCAGGTAAAGGTCACCAGATGCTTCACAGCATCTAGTGTCACAACTCTTCGTGCAGAGAAATTCCTGCATGTTCCTCCCACACACACACACATACACACACACACACACACACATACACGCACGCATACACACACATTCTTGTATTTGTGCCTATGTTAGGACTTTGTATTGACTTCCATTCATTTTAGTGAGTCCACAACGCCTAACCCTAACCAGTGTACTCCTAAATTTATCTGTAACAAAAACTCAATTCACATCTTATCTGTAAACCTCACCCCTAGGGAGTACTCCGGATTAGGACCGGGTTTTGGTCCTAACAAGGACCATCAGTCGTAAGGTTAGTAAATATCTCAAATCCGGTCTTCACAAGGGTACAAATACAAGCCCCCACACACACACACACACACACACACACACACACACACACACACACACACACATTTTGAAAACCAAAACCTGACAGGCAACAAAAAATGTCAATAATTTAAAAACACATAAAAGAAAGAAGAAAAATGTGAAAAGGCGATAACAGGATCCAGAAGACGACAGAAGCAGCAGAACAAGGAGGGGGAGGTGATGAAGGTCCCACCAAACCTGAACAGATGAGTTTAAAGGAGACCACTGAGTCCACTGATCTCAGGCTCGGGGGAGAGAGGTCCAGAGTCTGGGGGCCACAGCAGCAGATGATCTGTCACCTTTGACCTTTAGCCTGGTGCTGCACAACCAGTAGGCTTTGGTCACTGGACCACAGGGACCTGCTGGGGGTGTAGGGACTGAGTGTGTTACATGCAGCTGGTCCCACAAGGTCACAAAATTTAAGCAACTGGAAATCTGCGTGCTGTTATTTTGAAAGTTGCCAGATGTTTTACACTGCTCCCGTGCTTGACTTCCTGTCTGGCCCGATCTGAACTGCTGAGCTTGGTATTTCCTGGAAGCGTAACATAAAAAGTACACCAGAAGTGAACGTTTAGCTGAGGAACACAACACTAGTCTTGTGGGACGTGTCTGAATCACTCCATGGTTGGTGGAAACACAACTATTGAATAGAACAGCAGCTTTGGTGGCGCACGACGTCTCACAGGCATTTGGCAACGCCTATGTATTTGGTGTGAAGCCTGGGTTAGTCTGTGACTGTGGGTCAGTGTGTGTGTGTGTGTGTGTACCTGTAGTTTTTCCAGTAGTTGCTGGTGATCCTGGATCAGGACCTGGTTCTCCTCCTGGTTTGATCCGATCTCACAGAGTCCTGGTTGGAACTGGACCAGCTGCAGGTGGACCACAGAGCCACTCTGAACCCAATTAGAGGTCACAACTTGTCAAGATCTGGTTTGAGTGGAAGTCGTTTATCCATTGTTCTTATCAGTTTTATTATTAAACATCCAAATAATTTACTATTCATTCATTCATTCATCTGCTGAACCGTGTCTTCCTGAGCCAGGTCTCAGTGGGGTCTAGTCACCAGGTGAGGGATGGGGCTACACCTGCACAAGTCTCTAGATTTTATAGACTAAACTCAACAGTCCTCCTGGTAGGCACTGAAGGAGCCTATGACATCACATACTGATTGTGACCTGGCTTGGTTGCTACTGAACATGTTATTGATGATATTTTGTCCAACACTGTGGATTCTGTTTGACTTGGTGGCTTATTCCATATTGGTAGGCTCATGGCAGGTTAGGGTTTTAGAGCGAGCTACAGTAGGGGTGTTCACGGCAAGGCTCTGGTAGGGGGGTGATGAGATCAGATCCTGGTGGGTTTAGTCTCGTTTCTACTAAAGCAGCTAGAAACTGGAGCTGAGACCTAAAACTTTATCATCATAATTATAAAAATCTTTCAGCTTAGTCAGTGTCTCCTGATCCAATCAGACAGAAACATGAAGAAACCGGGTCACAGGGTTCTGGTTATAACTCACCATCAGAACCTCTGCTTCTAGTCAACTAGACTGCTACTCACTCACTCACTCACTCACTCACTCACTCACTCACTCACTCACTCACTCACTCACCCCAAGGAACAACAAACAACTCATGGACAGACAGATATCCAAATGACTTCTATGAGTTTTGTGTTTAGAGGAACCTGATGCTCGAACCAGAACCAGCCAGATAATGAAGACCCATAAAAGCCGTGGTAAATGGTTTGTATTTGTATAGCACCTTCTTGGGGTTCTACAGCCCTGCGACATCTCATGAAGCTTAAAGGAGATGTACAGTTGGATGTCATCTGCATAAAGATGGTAGGAGATTCCTTTAAAGGAGCTCAGGATGTGCTGAAGAGGAAGCAAAAGCTCCAGCAAAAGCTGAAGATCAAGTTCTGATGAAGCCAACAGGACCACATCATCTGCAAAAAGCAGAGACCTGATCTTCAGACAACCAAAACAGATGCCCCCAACACCTTGGTTGCTCCTAGAAATTCTGTCCATAAAGGTTATGAACAGAATCGGTGACAAAGGGCAGCCTTGGCGGAGTCCAACTCTCACCGAGAACGAGCCCGACTATGTGGACCAAGCTCTGACACCAGTCCTACAGGGACCTAACAGTCCGTATCAGAGGTCCTGGTATCTCACACTCCCGTAGTACCCCCCCCCCACAGGGCCTCCTGAAGCGCCTCGTGATTTTTATCTTGAGAGGCGCTATAGAAATTATATTTTCTTCTTCCTGAGGGACGCGGTCAGACGCCTTCTCCAAATCCAAAGAAAACATGTAGACTGGTTGGGAAAACTCCCACGCACCCTCCAGGACCCCCTAAGGGTATAGAGCTGGTCCAGTGCTCCACGGCCAGGATGAAAACCACATTGCTCCTCCTGAATCTGAGGTTCAAATATCCGACGGACCCTCCTCTCTAGAACCCCTGAATGGACCTTACCAGGGAGAATCAGGAGTGTGAGCCCCCTGTAGGAGGAACACATCCTGCAGACCCCTTTTTAAATAGGGGGACCACCATCCCGGTCTGCCAGCCCAGTGGAACTGCCCCTGATGTCCACATGATACTGCAGAGCGTGTGATTTGTTTGCGCGGATAAAAATAAAAAAAGTAGTATTCCAGTGTTGTTTGGGTCGAATTATCAAACTGATGAAGATCAAACAAAGCTCACGTAACTAGTACAGTTCGTTTTCCCATCCCAGCCGGGCGCTTCTGGTTTACGGGACGTAGGCAGGAACCGGTTTTGTTTTTGAGAGGTCTGACTTGTTTTTATATTTGTAACTGGTATAAGACGCATCAGGAGGTTCTGTAACAGGTTTGGGTTTAGTATGTAGAACCTTATCAGAACTCCAGGTGTGTTATACCTGCAGAACAGAGGCGGTGATCTGGGTCTGGCCGGTTTGGATAGCGATGGTGCTCAGGGTGGTGACAGAGCCACAGAACCTCTGTTCTCCACACGTCTGCCCGGTTGGGTCCATCCTGGAGGTGGTTCTGTCTCTGGTTGAAGAAGCCACGTAGATGGGTTTTATAGTTGTTCTGTTGTCCTCGTTGATGGACTGGAACCATTCCAGTTCTTTAGGATGGACCTATTTGGACCAACAGAGGACCCAAAGGTTCTGAAGGTGGAAACCTCTACAAGAAACAAAACATGAGTTAGGAACCAGCTTGAGGTTCTGGTCTGATCTGATCAAGTCCAGAGACCCTTGGTTCTGATGACTAATAGGTTCTTAACTCCGTGGTGTTCTGGTTCTATAAACCTGCAGGGGCTCTACTGAACAGAACCAACGGATGCTGAGAGGCTTCAGCATCTGTTACCATGGAGACAGACCAGCCGACCTGATTCTGACACTGGTACTGACCCGGTTCACTCAGAGTTGTGTCTTCTTGTGGTTCTGAAATACCAACATATAAAATCTGGTTTACAAAGGTACTGACCCACATGGACTCTCAGAACCACATCACCCCATTCAGCTCGGTTTTGACCCGTCCGATTCTAGCATCTGCCGTTAACGTTGATAAACAAGCAGTTGGTTCTGATCCAAAGGCATTGAACCCAAAACCTAAAGCATGCTCCAGTCCGACCCAGCCAACACGGTACCTGAAGCTTGGTGCTGCTGATCCAAATACTTTCAGCTGAAAGCCCGGAGTCAGAACCAGTCTGAGGCAGAGGGAGGGGTGTAAAAATAACTCCCAGTTATGTGACCAGCTGACCTCTGCCTCCATTAACACACATGAACAGCTGCACCCTCACGGTTCTGCGGGCCTGATCTAGAACAGTGGTTCCCATCAATAATTATTTAACTGAATTAAACTAAAACCGTAATTAAACTGAATAAAGCCGATTTTCCACGTTACACCACAGTGTATTTTGTAATTAAAGTTACGGAAGAACATCCATCCCCTGGTGATCTTTAAGCCAGTCAAGGCTACTGTCCTCAGGTATGTGCAGAAGGAACTGCTCCTCAGTGAAGGCCGTCAGAGGTGAACACTCCCCCATTCAGTCTGCTTAAGCCGGACGAAGCAAACTGAACCACTTCCTTTCTGAGCTGAGCTCACGTCACGTTCTCACGCGGTACATATGGTAGCAACCCGCTAAATAGCAGGTTTTACACACGTCGGACCTTGGAGTCCGAAAACCTGGGAAACCCAGAGACTGTTGTGTTGTTATGGATGTCTGTTGTCCTTTGGGCTTGCCGTAGGCAAACGCACAGGAGTTCACGGTGTTGGAAAAGGAAGATGAAGGAAAAGAAGCAAACCAATGTTTTGGGATCCATTTTATTTGACATAGATACACCAGGGCTGCGCAGTGGTTAGAGCTGTTGCCTTGCAGCGAGAAGGTCCTGGGTTCGCTTCCCGGCCTGACGTCTTTCTGCATGGAGTTTGCATGTTCTCCCTGTGCATGCGTGGGTTCTCACCGGGTACTCCGGCTTCCTCCCACAGTCCAAAAACATGACTGTTAGGTTGACTGGTCTGTCTAAATTGTCCTTACGTGTGTGTGTGCATGATTGTCCTGTGTCTCTGTGTTGCCCTGCGATGGACTGGCACTTTGTCCAGGGTGTACCCCGCCTTATTGCCCATTGACCGCTGGAGATGGGCACCAGCCCCCCCACGACCCATAAGCGGGTTCAGACAATGGACGGATGGATAAATACACCAAACACAGTTTTGAAGGGATGGGTTCAGTCCGGAGCAGCAAATCCAGGTTTTAGTGAAGATTAGACTGACTTGTTCATGGAGCGGGTATGAGTAACGCCATGCTGAGTGAGGTGGAGGAATCAGGAACAGCTGGAGTTAGTGGACATGTGTGCAGTCCACTCATGGAGGGGACAGGAAGAGAAACCACAGAATAAAGAGGTTCAACAGACCCGAGGTAACACGGAAACCGCAGCGGGAGGAGCTCACGCCCAGACGTCTGAAGATGTGAGCATGTGTTCATTTACTGCAGAAACTAGACACCAAACATCTGCGGTAAAAATTTTATTGAACATTTATCTATACAAGCAGAAGACCTCCCAGTGGAGGACGATGGGAAACGTAACACCAAAGTCTGGCGTCAACAAATAAACAAACAGTAAACAATAACAAAGATCACCTCTCAGTCAGGCTGCTTTGGCCTCAGTCTGTCCAATCAGAGGACAGAATAAATAGAAGCTGATGACACCGATCGGTCACACATTACGAGTCACTGAGGGACAATCTAAGCTCCTCGTCCCTCAGGCTGCGGTCCAATCGCTGCGTCTCTGACTCTAGAACTGATGGGACTGGGTGACGAGTGACAGTAGATAGTGAATCTGTGAGGTCATGTCTCAAGGACAGCAGCCATTGGCTGTTTCTGGAGGACTGCTCAATAAACTCCATTCTCTGCTGTTGATCCGCAGCCAACGACAGACGAAGGTGACTAACCTGAAGAGACAAGACACTATGACATCATCAGTGTTCACAAGATGACTCGGGACCTGGAAATCATCTTTTGTGGTCTCACCTGGTCCTCCAGCTCCCTCACTGTGCTACAAAGCTGATCTGCTTCTGTGGTAGTTGCAGAACCCTAAAGACAGACACACACCCCAGTGTTCTTCCTTACTGATTGCTCCCCGAGACGTGGCCACACTGACGCACCTGTATGAGTCTCACCTGAGATCGTGAGCTGTGTGTGAGC